AAGTAAGTCAGAATGAAAAACAAGTATGATATATTAACCCATACATGTGGAATCTGAAAACACTGGTATAGATGATCTTACTCACAAAGCAGAAATAAAGACATGGATTGGATATTTTAAATATGATAAAATTATTGATGATTTTCTTAGAGGTAATAATAGTATTGAGATCATATTAGGAAATGTCTTGACTCTTAGCAGAAGTATAGTAAAGTATTTAGAGGTAAAGAAGTATGACAGTTAGGACTTACTTTCCAATGCATCAGAGAGGATAAAAAAAAGTATATATTCAGAGAGGAACATAAAGCAGATGAGGGAAAAAGGGATCACTTGGTGAATCTAAGCAAAGGCACATGGGTGTTCATCTTACAGTTCTTTCAACATTCTTGTAGATTAAACCTTTTTCAAAATAAACAAATTTGGAAATAAAGGGGAAAAGTTAAAAAACAAAACAAAATAGGGGAAACAAAGAGAAGCGTCCTGGACAAGTCTAGCCTTCCGCCTCTGGGCCAAGCCCTTAATGTTCTGGGTCCTGGTTTCCTGTCTGAAGAATGAGGAAACTGGAGGAAGTGAACTGTGAGGTGACCTCAGCTCTAAAGAGCAGGGTCACAGTGAGGAATCTGCAGGCACAGGACCTGTAATCCTTCGCGTCCTGACTTCCCTCCCCCATCCCTCCAGACATCCAGCTAAGTACCACCTTTCCTCAGAGAGCTCATCTTGTGAAATCTTAAGGATTTTCTCCTTCTGTTGTGAAGATTTTAATCCTTTTAGCTTCGTAAGACTTTCTATGCTTTTAAAAAAAGATCTGCAGGAACTACGTAGTAAATGTGAGGGGTACAAAAGAAAATGCACAAAATCAAAACCGTTAAAGTACTTCCTGTTAAAAATCAAATAGCATAAAACACGATGAAGCTTCTAGCCCTGAAAGACCTTTATTATATCTCAGTGTCTTACTGTAATTTCACCGGAATTTGACAGTAAATCAAATATATTTCAATAAAAATGTTTAGAAAGTCAAATATAACTATGTTACCTTCTCAATATTTCTGTGGTTTCACAGGTTTAAAAAATGAGGAAATTCTTTACAGTGTTGTGGCAATTGAAGAGACCCTCACAAGTACCGTATATGAAAGCATACATGTGGAATCTGAAAGGACTGGCATAGGTGATCTTATTTACAAAGCAGAAATAGAGACACGGACATAGAGACCGTAGAGAACAAACACAGAGGTACCAAAAGGGGAGTTGGGGGAGGGGATGAATTGGAAGATGGGGATTGACATATGCGCACCACTGATATGCGTGTGCGCTCAGTCGTGTCCGACTCTTTGCGACCCCATGGACTGCAGCCCACCAGGCTCCTCTGTCTATGGAGTTTTCTAGGCAAGAGTACTGGAGTAGGGTGCCATTTCTTCCTCCAGGGGATCATCCTGACCCAGGGATCCAGCCCACACCTCCCGTGGCTCCTGCATCGACAGGCGGTTTCTCTCACCACTGAGTCACCTCGGAAGCCCCTACACTATTGGCGCTCTCGTCAGTAAGGTGGCTCACTGCAGCTCTGACGCTCAGTGGAAGAAGAAAGGGCTTTGTATTTTGAACCACTTCCCACCCCCTGTGTTTCTTCCATGCCCAAGCACTGAGAAACCGTGACAGAAGATCCCAAACTCTTCTGTTCCCAGAGTTCTTTGTTTCCTTATCTATTATCATCCATCTGGGCTTCCCAGGCTGCCCTAGTGGCCAAGAGCCCGCCTGCCAATGCAGGAGAGATAGGAGATGCGAGTTCCACCCTGGATCAAGGGGATCCCCTGGAGAAGGAAACGGATGCCCACTCCAGTATTCTTGCCTGGAGAATTCCATGGAGAGAGGAGCCTGGCGTGCTATGGTCCACAGGGTGACAAAGAGTTGAACATGACTGAAGTGACTTAGCAAGCACACATAAAATAGATAACTAATGAGCACCTACTGTATACCACAGGGAACTCTACTCAATGCTCTGCGGTGATCTAAAGAGGAAGGAAATCCAAAAGAGAGGGGACATATGTATACAGATGGCTGATCACTTTGCTGTACAGTAGAAATGAACACAACATTGTAAAGAAACTATGCCCCAACAATTTTTTTTCAAATAATAAAAAGAAAAATGGGGGGAAAACCCTAAAAAAAAAAATAAGAGAGAGAGACTGTCAGCAAAATACTACTTGGGGATGGTTCCCCAGAGGCGGGTGTCTGGAGAGGTGTGCTCCGCTGTGCCTTTACTATTGCATGCCTCTTGTGAAGCCGTCTATCAGAATTAATTTTTATAGGCCTTCCTCGAAAGGCTTCAACTCAAGGTTGGCCGGGAACGCTGTACCTCACAGAGCCCTGCTCTTAGCAAGTGCTCAATCGGCATCTGTAATTTTGTTGAATTTAGTTGAAATTCAGCAGGTCATGTGCCAACAGTTTGTATTCTAATTGTCAATCAGAAACAAAACAAAACAACATCTTGTGAATGCTTCTTTGATATTATTTCTTTTTTTGTACAACATGTCCAGTTTGACTAATTGTTCTTCCAGATTACAGACTTTTAACGGTGAGGATGAGGCAAACATGAATCTCTCCCTATATTCCGCATGTGAGATGCAGTGAAATATCCAACATGCTCCCTCCCCGTTAGTTTGGTCACTTGCTGCCTTCTGTCTCAGCCTTTACCCAGTCCTGGGGAACTCTGTCAGTCTATTTCTTGCTGAACTTCTACTGAATCTTTCTAAAAATCTGAAAGAAATAGCTCCACATACAGAGCAAAAAAAATTATGCTTTTTATACTACAAAAGACCTAAGTTACTTAAAATGTTAAACCCATATGACATAAACAAATACATATACAGTGGAATATTACTCATTCATAAAAGAATGAAATAATGCCTTTTGCAGCAACATGAATAGACCTAGAAATTATTGTACTAAGTGAAGTAAGCCAGACAGAGAAAGACAAATATCATATGACATCACCTATATGTAGAATCTTAAAAAAAAACTAACAAAAAACCAAATGAACTTATCTCCAAAACAGAGAGTTATACACACAGAATACAAACTTATGGTTATCAAAGCGGAAAAGAGGAAGAGGGGAGGAATACATTAAGAGGATGGGATTAACATACACACACTACTATATATAAAATAGATAAGCAACAAGGACCTACTGCATAAAACAGGGAACTATACTCAATATCATGTAATGATCTGCAATGGAAAAGAATATGAAAAAGAATATATATATATGTATATATATATATGAATCACTTTGCTGCATACCTGAAACTAACACGATATTATAAATCATCTTCAACAAAATATTTAAAAAAAACACAGAAAAGTAAAAAAAAAAAATCAAAACCAAGAAAACCTCATTTGAAGGGAGGGACGGCGAAGGAAGGAAAGCACTGAACACTCGCCTGGGAGCCGTAAGGCAGAACAGGGCCGGCCTGGCCGGGCTCGGATCGTGGCATGCAGAGTCCTGGCAACTAAACCCAAGAGGGCTCTGGGGCAGCTCCGGGGTGCTCACTGGTCACCACGGGCAGTGCGTTCCAGCTCCTCAGGGAGACAGAGCTGCTCCCCACAGCAATGGCATGCAGAGTCCTGGCAACTAAACCCAAGAGGGCTCTGGGGCAGCTCCGGGGTGCTCACTGGTCACCATGGGCAGTGCGTTCCAGCTCCTCAGGGAGACAGAGCTGCTCCCCACAGCAAGGGTCCACGCCCCACTCGTGTCTGCAGGACGCGGACACTGGCAGAGTCTCAGGCAGCCTGACAACCCACAGCACTCACTGACTATGCCTGATCCTCATCCCTTCATTGTAAAAGGAATCTCTCACATAGAGCTTCACACAAGGGACTCTGGGAGCCTTGCAGCCTTGAAAGTGGGCCCAAAGTCAACGAAGCAATGGGTTTCACAGTCTGCTTCTTGCTGTGTCGATCACAACACACAGACATGGCTCAGCACAGTAATCCGCAGGTGCGGGCGGGATGTCAAGCTAAGTCATCAGAGATGGGCTGTTTCTGAAGGATGTGTTTGATCCCCAACGTGGTCGAGAATTTTTAGGTTAGGCTGAGTACCCAAGGCCCATGGCTGCACATATATTGCTCTTCTCAACTGAATTACTCAGCACCGTGTTCAGGTTATTTTCTTTGGTCAAAGCCAGGAGTGCGGGTGCCCTTCTCAGAGCTCAGGTCTCCAAAGGAGGAGGCAAAGCAAACTCAGTGATGACAAAAGGGATATCATTTACAGGGGACCATTTCTCCCAGGGCAAGCACCTTCACCATCGGCTGGGGAGACTCCTGCCACTGTGTGACCCTCCCTGTGAGCCACGGCAGAGCAACGCTGAGAACTGAGAGGCTGCCTGGTCGGTGACGGAGCAGGAATGGATGGGTGGGTGAGGGGTCCTGGCGCGGGGATGGTGGCCCTGAGAAATCTGGGGAGATGACTGCCATGCTTCTATCTGCCTGTTTCTGCTCCTCCCCACTCCACTCCAACGTGTGGCTTCCTGGGTGGCTCAGCGGTAAAGAATCCGCCTGCCGACGCAGGAGTCGCAGGTTCCATCCCTCGGTTGGGAAGATCCCCTGGAGAAGGAAATGGCAACCCGCTTCAGTATTCTTGCCTGGGAAATCCCATGGACAGAAGAGCCTCGCGGGCTCTAGTCCAGAGGGTCTCAAAAGAACTGGACACGACTGAGTGACAACAACAGCAACATCACAACATCACGGCTGACATCACACAGCTTGTCCAGGGCAGTGCTTTTTTCTGTAGCAACTGGTCTTTAGGTCAGGTCTTATCATTTTCTGGTTATTAGAGCAGATGAAACAGAAGGTTCCCTTTCCTGGTGCTGACAGATGGGTTGATGAGAAGATGAAGACTCTTGTCTGCCCTAGGTGAGTACCCCCCAGCCAACCTCCTGTCTTGACTCGGGGTGACTCCTGGGCAGGGGTCTGGGACGCCTCTCACCCTCCACAGTTCACACCGTTACCTTAAACTTCTCCTCATAGTTCTCGAAGGCCTCCATGACCATACACACGGCTTCCATTGAGCGCTCGAGCCGGCCATCCACCCCGTTGAAGCGGTACATGCTGCCTGACACGTCTACCACCAGGCGCAGGCGCTTGGGTTTCTGTTGGGGGCTGCCCATCTGAGGGAGGGACGACAGAAAGGCCTTGAGAACCAGAAAACCATCAATGGCTGCCGTTCTGAGGGTCTCACGCCGGCCCCAGAGTGCCAGCTGCCAGGTAGGTGGATCAGCTGTAGGCTGAGCCCTGCACAAGGCTGTCCTGGCAGGTGGGGAGGCATGAGTTGGTACCGTTAGGAAATGGGCTGCACACCAGGAGGTGCGTGGTGGGCTTCCCATCAATCACATTACCACCCAAGCTCTGCCTTATGTCAGATCAGCGGCAACATTAGATTCTCATAGGAGCACAAAACCTACTGTGAACTGTGCATGTGGGCAATCTAGGCTGCACACCCTTTATGAGAATCTAATGCCTGAAAATCTGATTCTGCAGGAGGAGAAGGGGGCAACAGAGGATGAGATGGTTGGATGGTATCACCAGCTCAATGGACATGAGCTTGAGCAAACTCCGGGAGACAGTGGAAGACAGGGAAGCCTGGTGTGCTGCAGTCCACAGGATAGCAAAGAATCAGACACACCTTAGCGACAGAATAACAATTATTTTATCATATAATCACAATGTAATAATAATGGAAATATTAATAAAGTGCACAATAAACAAAATGTGCTTGAATCATCCCAAAACCATACCCCCACGAACCCTGCCTGGTCCGTGGAAAAATTGTCTTCCATTAAACCTGTCCCCAGTGCCAAAAAAATTGGGGACTGCTGATCTATGGAATTTCAGTAAATGGAACTTCAGATTTGTGTTGGTAGTTGGGGCCACGTGGGGGAGGATTTTCCTTTGGAATATGGTCCTAGGACCAACCTAGTCTAGTAAGACTTCCTTAATGAGACTGATGCCATCTTAAAAACAATAATCAGGAAAGAATATAAACCCCAGTGTGTCGTTCTCTCATCAAGCCTTAGAGTCAGTTTCTCTAGGAAGATGGAGCTATTCTGGAAGCCCACAGCAATTTTACCGGTTGTGTAGTGACCTGAAAATCACTTCCACATGGTCTGTAAGAAATGTCAGATTCCTAAAATCAGGGATGTGAGAGGCAGGGGCTTCTTGCAAAGAAGTGAAGGAAAATATCTCTTCCTGTCTTTTGTCTTTAGGAAGCTTTCAGTTTTCTACTCCTTCCAGTTACTGAATTACTGCTTCTTTTTACTTTTCCTGGCATTAAAGGCATGAACGTGGCATCGAACTATAGGTCAGCAACAACCGTCAATTAAAATGTGAAAAGCTTAGGAGTTTCAATTTGGTTTTGGACCCAGGCCTGCCAATGTGCAGAAAGAAAAACAAAAGTATGCTTGTCAGATTTACTTACAAGAAAAAAAAGGAGAAAAATTCCAGATTATTCGGTTACTATACACTCGCTGACATGTATGAAAACGAATGAGCAAAGTTAGTCATTTCAAGAAAATTCTGTGGGTACTGGAGTGTAATGGTTGGAGACAGATTCAGTGTATTTCTTAAAAGCTTGTTGAGTCTGCCTAAATTAGGCATTGCCTAACAGTGCCTCATGCCTCCATGACGACTCATGATTTCAGATGTATTTAAACACAGTGGTGGACCACAGTGAGTCAGTAAAGAAAGCAGCCGTTGACTCATACCAGCATGGCCCCTCCAACAACCCCCGCCGGCCCCCAGGTCTCATTGGCTACTTAGCAATTCGGTTATTCGAGGATTTTGGAAGTCACAGAGCCCTCTAAGAGACTCACCTAATTGTCATTTTTTGCCCCTTGTATTACTGCAAATATTTTAGTGCTATGACTGTCTTAAACTTCACACTCTGCGAGAATTCCTTATTTTCTAAAAATTTCTTTGGTTGCAGAATGAACACAGATCTTTAAAGGAACAGAACAGCAGAAAACCACTAAGATGGCTCTAGTGTTTTCATCTGCGTCACCCTCCGGGATTCAGGGACACCGGGTGTCGTGCGTTTCCCCTCCAGGGCACCCTGCTCTGTGTCCTGGGGGCTCATCTGCAAGATGGCAGCGGCCTCTCTGGCTTCCAGCAGCTGCTGGGAGGCTCTGGCAGCGCACCAGAGCCGGACGGTAGCCTGTTTATTCCCTCCGCCCCGTCCCGCGGCGGCCCATGGGCGGTTCTTCTGCTGAAGCACGCGGCCCTTGGCGGGCAGCCCTCTCCATGAACCACCTTGTCCAGGTTCCAGTAAGCGCTCTCTCCTCCGCCCTTTCAGACCGAGGGCAGATCCCCGCTGTTGGAAGACCACACTGTCCCTTTTTGGACTTCCTAAGCCCCACCCTTACTTTTGTAAACAGTCTTTTTATTAGGTTCCCTCAATTGCTCAATTTGAGTGTGCCTGGTATTTCGTGACTCATGCTGGGATCTTGATTATATAATAAACAGTGTAATATTTATGCTTTCTTCTAATTAAAAATATATATAATGCTTTCCTTGACGGCCATATTCAGGGTTTGTAGTCTTTTGACTAAAACAGCGACTCCAGGAAGCATCTGCCTGTGAAGAAGGTCAAACTACAGATCCGAGGCTCCCAGGGCACCCATACTTACTTGTGGCTCCAGCTCACCCCGGCGTTTGTAGATGGCCTTTTCTCCAGTCAGCCCGTCGATGATCTTGGCATCATCTAGCTCCCCAGTAGCTTGGTGTCTTAGCCACTGTCTTTCTTTGCCTTTCGCCTACAAAGACACACACACATGAATGCTTACTTTAGTTCTGGAGAGGCCCTGATGCATTTCATGCATGAATAACAGGAAACACGGAGCTTCCCTGGTGGCTCAGTGATAAAGAATCTGCCTGTTAGTGCAGGAGACCAGGGTTCGATCCCTGGATTGGGGAGGTCCCCTGGAGAAGGAAATGGCAACCCACTCCAATATTCTTGCCCGGAGAATCCCATGGACAGAGGAGCCTGGTGGGCTACAGCAGTCCATGAGGTCGCCACAGAGTCGGACACGACTGAGAGACTAAACAACAACAACAGGAAACACACCAGGGATCTTTTCAGTACATGCTGGTTCTGCATGGGCACAGCTTCATAAAAGGCCTGGTTTTGGCTCTGCTGACAAAGAGATGCCCTTTGTGCAGATTTTGTCCATTACATGTGTTTTAACACATGGAAGGACAAAATGAGCTCACGGCACATATGAACAGGATAACGGTATGCAAATGAACCTCTGGAGATGTATGCAATATCTGGAGTGTAATGATGGTGCATTTCTTATGGACTTTCCGTCACGGTTAACTCCTAGAAAATTTATTAGGTAACAAATTAATCAGCTTGAACTTGTTAGCACTGTCTGCAAGCACAGAGAAAACATAGTCTTCAGATTCTTAAATGTGATCTTCAGATTCTTCCTTTTCAAGAAGTTGTTCAAGTTCTCTGTGACTTAGAGTACAAATGGGAACAGTTGAGAACCATAGTACAAAAACATTTTGTACCCTACTGACATTCTGATCATCTATATTCAGAAATCTCCTAGATTACTTTTCTAAAGATATTTGCACATAATGCTTAAAACTATGCCCGGTGGACTAAGATGATAGTTATATGATAAAGAGTCATAATATCCCAATGAAGGCACAGGTTTATCAAAGCTGATATTTACATTAAGAACCCAGACAATGAAATAATATTCAGTGCTAAAAAACAAAGCAGCTATCAAGACACGGAATGACATGGAGGTAACTTAAATGCATATTACTAAGTGAAAGAAGCCCATCTGAAAATGCTACAGCATGTATGGTCCCAACAATAAAACATTTTGTTCAAGGGTGAAACTATGGAGAAAGTAAAAGAAGTCAGTGGTTGCCAAGGGTTGGTGGAGAGGGAGGCGTGAAAAGGCAAGGAACAGAGGATTTTTAGGGCAGTGAAACTATTCAAGATGATGCTGTAATGGCAGATACATGTCATTAGACATTTATCCAAAACCACAGAACGTGCAACACTCAGAGTGATTCCTAATGTAAACTATGGACTTTGGGTGATAATGTGTCAGTACAGGTTCATCAGTTGTAGCAAATGTACCACATCAGTGGTGGATGTTGGTAATAGGGAAGGGCGTGTGCAGGGGCAGGAGGTATATAGAAATTCTCTGCACTTTCTGCTTAATTTTCTGGGAATCTAAAATTGTTCTAAAACACTGAAGTCTCTTAAAAAATCTAGTTATGAATATAATGATGACTCTTTACTATACTGAGTCTATTTTCATTTCAGCAATGCACTTATCAAGACAAAGAGTGGCTCAGGGTAGAAAAAGCATCAGACTTGGATTCAGCATGTGAAACTTCTAGTTTTGTCTCACTTTGGGCAGTTATTGAGATTCTCTTGTGTCTTTGCAGCCCCGTCTCCAAACTGAGGGGACACGGTGTCTGTGAACGTCTGTTTGAAGTGTAACAGTCTACATTTGGGCTTCCCTGGTGGCTCAGATGGTAAAGAATCCACCTGCAGTGCAGGAGACCTGGGTTTGATCCCTGGGTTGGGAAGATCCCCTGGGGGAGGGGATTGCAACCCATTCCAGTCTTCTTGCCTGAAGAATCCCCAAGGGCAGAGGAGCCTGACAGGCTGCAGTCCACGGGGTCATAGAGTCGGACATGACTAAGCGACTAAGCACAGCAGTCTACATTTAATTAGAAATGAAAGTCACTAGTATTAAGTGGAGGATTTTCCAATTCGTTTTTTTTACCCTTTGCCTCTTCCTAATTATATCAAAATAATGACAGTAATATTTTCTCAAGTAACTGGGAATTGTCCCTAATTTGTAAGCTTCTAAGCATTAACCAAAGTCTAAAAAGTGATTTTGAAGCAATGTGTTTTTTTTTCACTAGTAGATCTATTCTTCAATAATAGAAATAGCTGAATTGCCTGTCTGCTAAGTGCAACAAATTATGGGGAAAGTAACTGCTTAGGAAACCAGTTCATTTCATGTCTATTTTGACATTAGCGTAAATGTAGTTATGTTAAGCTGGTTTGCTATTGATAGTAAATATTTTGAGAGACTTGGGTGGATAATTAGTTACAGGAAACATACTTTGCTTTCCAAAATCCATGTTTCTGCTCCAACATTAGCACTCTCAGCACTCAAAAGAAGCAAAAAACATCTAGAACCACTTAGCAGATATGTTACTGGATGAAAATCTTCCATTATCTGGAGTTTGGTGGGTGGGTGTGGGGTGGGGTGGTGGTGGGATACCAAAAATCTCCTAAATAGCTATCTAAGGTTCTCAGCCATTTTGTTGTTGTCTAAGTTGGGACAGAGTCAGATCTAAGAATACAAGAGACCTGGGTTCAATCCCCGGGTTGGGAAGATCCTCTGGAGAAAGAGATGGCAACCCCACTGCAATATTCTTGCCTGGGAAATCCCATGGACAGAGGATACAGTCCATGGGATCGCAAAAGAATCAGAGACAACTCAGTGACTAAACAATAACAATCTTCTAAATATATTTATAAAGAGCCCACTGTAATGAAGCTATCTGGAGTAACGATGGTTTGTTATTTTAGATATTCCTATATTTGCCTAAAGTATACATTTATCATTTACCAGAAGAACTTTGTCTTCAATTTTCCTAAGTAGGCTTGTGAGATAGAAATCTCACTGGCTAGCTAACTATCAAAGTCACTTCATTATGAGGTAGCTCCTTAAGACTATACAGTAAACAAATGTTAACTCTTTACGAGAGGTTTGCAAAATCCGGTGTTACTCATATCAATTCCTGATCAGTGGGAGAGCACAGAGGCCGCTGTAACAGACAGAAGGCACAAGAAGGGAATTACAGGTGGTGTGAATTTGGGGAAAAGGTCTGACTTAAGAGCAAGAGAACCATGATCCAGTAACAGGTGTGTTAAACAACCAGCCCAACAGCACTGCAAAATTCTTCTTTTGGTATCTATGCTAATAATTGGAAGACTCTGATGCTGGGAAAGACTGTGGGCAAGGAGAGAAGGGGGCAACAGAGGATGCAGTTGGTTGGGTGGCATCACTGACTCAATGGACATGAGTCTGTGCAAACTCAAGGTCACGGTGATGGACAGGGAAGCCTGGTGTGCTGTAGTTCATCGGGTTGCAGAGAGTCGGACACAACTTAGCAACTGAACAACAACAACAACAATGCTAATAATTAGTAAACATTAGGATAAAAGGAGGTCCTTTCTAGGGGATCTATTATTGCCCTTAGTAAGGGGGTTATCAAATTACAAAATACTTATTTTTCCCTTATAATACCATGGTTGTCTGCTGTCTCTAGACTGTCCATCATGGAAGAACCTAGAGATCTGGGGTCTTAACTTTCTTATGCTGGTTTGCTTCTTTTCCTGTGCATAGCTATCGTCTTTTAACGTCCTCTCTAGTTTGAAGGCTTTGTTCCCATTCTGTATACCAATAAAAGAAAAAGACTTAATAAAATTTGGGGTGAGAGTGAAGGAAGGGATATGCTTTTTCCAGTAAATTTGCCACCCACTTTTTTGGGTCAACTTTTAAAATTCAAGTATAATGCTGTGGTACATATACACCATGGAATATTACTCAGCCATTAAAAAGAATTCATTTGAATTAGTTCTAATGAGATGGATGAAACTGGAGCCCATCATACAGAGCGAAGTAAGCCAGAAAGATAAAGACCATTACAGTATACTAACACATATATATGGACTTTAGAAAGATGGTAACGATAACCCTATATGCAAAACAGAAAAAGAGACTCAGATGTATAGAACAGACTTGTGGACTCTGGGAGAAGGCGAGGGTGGGATGTTTCAAGAGAACAGCATTGAAACATGTATATTATCTAGGGTGAAACAGATCACCAGCCCAGGTTGGGTGCATGAGACAAGTGCTCGGGCCTGGTGCACTGGGAAGACCCAGAGGGATCGGGTGGAGAGGGAGGTGGGAGGGGGGACTGGGATGGGGAATACATGTAAATCCATGGCTAATTCATTTCAATGTATGACAAAAACCACTACAATATTGTAAAGTAATTAGCCTCCAACTAATAAAAATAAATGGAAAAAAATTCAAGTATAATATACTTATAATAAAGTGTATAAATCTCAAGCGCACAGGCAGTGAACTTTAAAAGCAAACACAGCCTTGTAACACCTGTACCCCGCGGGCCTCCCGGAGTCTCTTGGACTTGGCCCAGGCCCTGCCAAAGGACCCCTGCCCTCCAACCGCCTGACTTCTATCATCACAGATTAGGTTGGTGTGTTTTTGCATTTCATAAAGTGGGATCAAATAGTATGTACTCTTCTGTGTCTGGCTTCTTTGGTTCAACATCGTTCCCGGGAGAGGCACCGACGCTGCTGTGCCCAGCGGCTCTTGATTCTCTGTCTCCGCCATAACAATCTCCAATTGTGTGATTTTTGACCATGTGTCACAATTGATATCTCATCTACGACTGTGTTATTTCCAGCTTGGGGTTATGATGAGTAATGTTGCCATGAGTATCTTGACCATGTCTTTTGCAGCAGGTATGTGTGTATTTCAGCTGGGTAGATATGCTGGATACACTCAGGTTTAGGAGATACTGTTAAATAGGTTTCCAAAGTGGTCTTTCCAATTTACATTTCCCAGGGTCAGTGTATGAGGGCTTCCTTTGTTTGTATCCTCATCAAAACTTGATATTGACAGTTTCTTTTTCTTTTTTTTTTCTTTTAATTTTAGCCATTCTGGTGGGCGTCTAT